CTGTCTTTGTCAATCTATCTATACTTTCGTATTACTTCTAATTGTTACATCATCCTTTCTGTCACAGTATTACACAATCGAACTGTATAAAAAGAGAAAATTGTGTGCGTGAAAAGAAAGAACCAGGTTATCATTTAAATTAAATTCAGATATTTGGGTCTCGTAGATAGCATCCCTAACTATAATCAGTTGGAGAATCATTAGGAATCAAAGTGTACTAGATATATCACTTTCGTCGCAATTTGATGCTCTCCGGTAGCAATTTTCCTCATATAAATGTGCTAGGAGTTAAACAACTCAGGTTGCATGCTGAGTAGATTACCATTTATCAGTTGGGTTGAATCGATTCTAGCACCATCAATAACCAAAATGACCTGTGAGTATCGTCATTTGATTTAATTGGTTACAGAATTTCATCATGAGCTGACATCGGTTAATTTAATTTTAATTTTGGTTATAGCTTGAAACCACACAGTATTTGTGGTGCAAGTATGGAAATTTCAGCATGCGATATGGGTAGCCCAAATTTCGCCGGCCGACCATTGATACCAGATGTACGTCGGCAGGGGATCGAACCCCGGACCATTTACATGGTCGGCGAGAGTCCTAACCGCTGTGCCACCGACGCACCATTGGAAAACCAGAGAGTACTGGATATATGTTTTGTCCTGGTTCTGGACTCTTCAAAAATACTAACCCGCCAGGGTTCGAACCTAGGAGCTTCCGGCTACAACACGAGCTGGTAGACGATTCAGCCACTGCGACCCGATCCAATGGCTCAGGAATTCTACCAATTCACAATATAGCGCGACCACTAGTGAATGTCATCGGTGAGTATTTGTCATAACACCCGACCTACTGTACCCCACTGGTCACGACTTTGCACTAGAACCCAGGTAACTAACTTCTTTTCGTGACGTCCATTCTGAATCCAATCAAAAATATTGAGTAAATTAATATTTAAGTGTTTTAATTTGTTAGGATACGGTTAGTTTCTAGTGTAAATTTCATCACAAACAAACTTATGTCAGTTAGAGAACCATCGAAAGTCAGGGAGCCTTGAACACATTGATATTAGAATTAAATAGTAAGTATAACTACATCATTGGAATCTATTTTACTTACACACAGCCAAGACTCTGCAGTCATTCATTTTGTTTGTTGTTACACTTGAACTCTCTTCACCAACCTACTCATGCCGGAATAGTACAGAACAAGGTTGTGAAGCACCCATCATACATTGATTTCGTATTTATGTTTGATCCTGAGTATAATGGTAATATCTATAATGGCGAATATTGTTTTCTAAACGAGCATCAGTAGTACATTGATGGGAATCCATGCCAACTATGCACGTGGTCCAGGGTTCGATTCCCAGTAGATGTACTCCTAAACTTCACTTAGCGGTTAGTAAGCCCAGGAGGAAGGTTGGACGTATGAATCCAGCAACCCTACCTCGTAAAAGAAAAACGTCGCTACTGAGACTTCAGAGCTCAAGCTAGGAAGGTAAAGGAATGAAAATTTAAAAAAAAATTAAACAACAACTATGAAATATTGGCACAAACGGCTTAAAATGATCACTGATAAAATCTTGCATGAAACTCATTTTGTGACAGGTTGCACATTGTTTCTTGTGCCTTATTACAAATAGATCTTATCACTTTCTTACAAGGCAGACACACTCTGATAATGTCTGTATGTAAATGCAAATGATAGACAGCAGTGTTAGCATTGGTATTCATTTGATACAATGTTTAATATTAATGTACAGGTTGTTGGCGAAAGATAATATACTCGTCAACATCCAATGTGAAGTCAGTGCTACTATACGGATCAGAGACGTGGCGCGTCATAAAGAGCACATCAAACAAACTACAGACCTTCATTAACAGCTGTCTCCTCTCAATACTTCGCTCAAGATCAGATGGCCAGAAAAGATCAGCAACATGGTGGGATCTCTGGGAGTGAACCAACACAGCAGGAACCAATTGTGAAAGAAATAGGTAGGAAGAAATGGAGATGGATTGGCCATACACTGAGGAAACCATCAAGTGACATCACTAGACAAGCCATCGCTCGAGTGGAACCCGAAAGGGAAGCGGCGAGTTGGTCGTCAGTGCAAGGGTGATTTGAAGGAGGTGATGTGAAGAGGATATGAAAGAGTGTGGGCAGACTTGGAGCCAGGTGAAAACTCTAGCAGAGAACCGAACACAATGGAGACGCACGGCTGAAGCCCTATGTTCCTGTAGGAATTAAAGGAAACAATAATAATAATACAACATCCTTTGTAACTTAAAGTTTTGATATTTTGTGTTTTTGTTTCTTATATTGTGGATGACAGTGGTGGGTACTGGGGGTTCTAGTTCAAGAAGAAGAAGAGTCACTTAATCACTTGCAGATATATCCTGCTGATAACTTCTTAAGTGAGGTGTAACGTGCTTAGCACCATATCCTGGAAACTTTTTAACTGAATACCAAATAAATAAACTCTGTAGATATATCTTGAAATCAGTTAAATCCTCACAAACGCATCACTGTAAGTACTTCCTATCGCCTACTAATTACTAGCTTCGAAATCGATATCTCGCAGTTGAATTAAGATTTCTTAACCGGTGGGGTCCATCAAGTTGTTTGTGTGTGTGTGTGTATGCGTGATATCTCGTGAGAAATATTGTATCTGTTTCGGCCTTATGGTTGTATGTGTTAGGTGGCGGTCACTAAGTGGGTTCTGGGTTCGAACCCCACCTCCTCTTATTTCAACCTGCATAGTTTCATCATCCTTCACACAGTAGGTGTGTCTGATAGCTTGGCATATAGAAGACCTATTCCTCGGACTGAGTCCTGACCTGTGTGTGTTTAGAAGGAAGTAAGCAATAAGTAACAATTTCAAGGTGGATTTTATCATCCTATTTCGAAAGCTTTTGAAAAAGATTTATTCTCAAATAGTTTTCTTTACCTTCGTAATCATACACGGTTATCTTTTTTTTCCTAAGAAAAAAATATTATTGTCGCTATTGTAGTTTTACAATCATCATTCTTTTATTTAATATCCACTTATCCCATCCACTTATCTGCATAATTTCCTCCGGTGATTACGTAATCACCTCTCCACACATCTTCGTCTTGTTTGTTCCTTTCTTTCTAACCATTTGAATATATTTTTTTCCTCATTTACTTATTATCTCATGAATGCTTCTATGCGCACTGCTTCAAACTGCCTACGCCCTTAAATAATGATGTCATTTATAATAGTTGAAAGTATGCGAAAAGATATTACGAGCTTTTGTTATAATATAGGTATTATCTTTTGATTCTCCGTGTTCCCAATGCAACCACAAGTGTTGCAATTAGACAAAGTCATGTAGATAACGTCGATAAATCAATCGATGTAGGCGTGAAACTTCATCAGACGAGACATGTTAAATCACTAGTGGTGAGTTAATTTGAAAATGACATTTATGCGTTGTCAAACTAACAACATGGTAACAAACTATTTATTCAAATCACTTAGTGACAACATATAGGTTGCTTGCCACTATGTTAAGCACCAGTGTGATTAGAGGCTTAACGATGTCATGTTTGAAAAGTGTTCACAATGACTCTCAGAAGTACTCACTACTTATCATTAAAACTCTCTGAACATATTTTATAACCTCCTTTGGTTGGATTGCCTGAGCCGAGCAATTGAATTGTCCTCCAAGACAGCATGTTCAGCATATTAACTTCAAATTAACGTGATCACTGAAGATGTTGTTGTATAGAGGGACAATGAAGGCATTCAGCTCAGAGAACCGATCAGTATCAAAGACATTCACCTGAGCTATAAATCTTCTCTATTATTCACTTTCAAATTCGACTCTAATGTCCTTCTGTTACGAGGTTCTATGTTAAACTGCTTCTCAATCGTTTTCTAAGTATCAATATAAGGCTCAAATACACGTAAATGTATGCTTAGTATTATTGAATTTGTTGCCTATTGATGAGTGCATCTTGTTTTCCTTTTATATATTTTTTTCCGTGAATGCTCTCTGTAATTTTGTAGAAGGTTTAAAGAAGAAAATAACTCTTGGATACATTGCTATGCGTGTTCTTAGGAGGAAATTCAACTCTGAAGAACAGCCAGTAACGTGCTAGTAGGAAATTAGTTTCCGTGTTAATATCTCACATTGTAAGAGAATATTCAATAGTTAGTTATAATAGAAGTTGTGACCACCCAGGTATTGACTACACTTCAATTGTACTCCAGTCATTGAGGTGTTTGCCCTACCGGTAAGTTAACAATACTCTACGCAGATTACATCATCAGCAAACTATTCTTCTTCTTCAGTTGCTATCTGTTTTTTACACTAGAATCTAAGATTTCTGCACTAAAACAAAGATTTTCTTATTTTGATTCTCAACGATTACACAACCAAATTAATAAAAACCTATGGCTAGTGGTTGCGCTATATCGTGAATTGGCAGAGGTTAGAATTCATGAGCCATTGGATCGGATCCCAGTGGCTTAACGGTCTACGAGCTAGCTCGCCTTGTAACCAGAAGGTCCTGGGTTCGAACCCTGGCGGTGGGTGCGTACTGATGAAGAGTCCCAAACTAGGACGAAACAGCTGTCCAGTACTCCCAGGTTTTCCAATGGTGTTCTCTAACCAATTTCAGCTCATGATGAGATCCTGTAACTAATAAAAACCTTTTTTTTTAAGAAGGCAGATTTCTTCTCGAATCGATATCATCTGGCGAATTGTCGAGAAGTAGGATATACTTGACGGTTGTTTCCTTCGAGCCTGGGACTGTTTAGTAGTGTGCACTTGCGGTTTCATTGGGTTTCCTACGTAGGGTCTGCAGGTTGCAAAGGCGACATCTTTGACCATTCAGCCACTGGGCTGGAATTCTTTATTTCTTATTAATTAATAAGCGGAGGTGTCTGTTAACACATTCAGATGAGTTTAACCAACTGAATTTAATAATTCTGTTAACCTCATTATTATTTGTTTTCCTTGTAGATACGTCGACACTACACTGTAAATTCTTCACAAGAACCTGTCCATATGAATAATTTAACCAATAGTAGTAATTCAAAAATATTTCAGTCCAATGGTGTAGATGTTCCTCGAAATAGTCAAAAACGCTCGAAGCCGTCTAGTTCAGTGGAATCCTCGCCTGAAATAACTAACAAGGAGAATGATTGCCAACTTGTTCATTTATTAAATTCTAATCACAATAACATAACCAATCTACCAGCCGATAATAATGATGATGATAATAGTAGTAGTACTTCTACTGGAAATACCAATAATCGTTTTTCTCGCCCAATCGCAAGTAGTTGTCATCCCATAATCCAACAAGTTATCAAGCGCCTGTTCGTCTTTGTTTAGAATCGCATACTCCTGAATGGAATAATGATAGCCTATTATCGTCAAGTGATAGGTATAATTCTGAACCGCTACCGTCAGTCTTTCCAAAAACTAATTCTTCCTTTAATGATGTAGTGAATACAACTACTACCAATGGTAGTAGTACTCATACGCCTGGTGTTATAAATAACTCCTCTTCAGAAGTTATTTGTTCACATGTTGTTCCTTCCACATATACTACAGAGAATAATTTCATGAAAGTAAGTTATTTCAGCTTTGCGTCTTTTTCTATGAAATGGTATTATAAGGAGACATCGATGGAGGTAGACGGAATTAAATGTGTATTACAATATATTTTTTAATGTTTAAAAAAAATTTAACATCGATGTAAAGTGTGTCCTCAGTCACCATTTAGGACTAGAATTCCAAGTGATCAGTTAATACATTCATTACACTCCTACACAGAGGATGTCTTCGTGACATGTGAATAGTTCAGTCACTTAACGTCTGGGAAAATGCTGCTTTTGATGACGCAGATTCCAATTTCAAAGAGGTGGGGACAGTAGTTCTTTTGAGGTTGCACATAAGCTCTGTTGATGAGTGCCAGTTAGTATGAAGCTTCGGTTTGGTGCTACCTACCGATTGCATCCAACCATCTAAGATTAATGTTTCCCTTGAAACCTCTATCACTGATAGTTTTCCTGATTGTGGTACTCTGGATCATGCGGGAGACCGTATGAAGTGAGAAGAGAAGCATACGTTGAACTGACGAAAAGATCTTGGAGCACATGGGTTTTGCGAATTATGCATGTCTAGTATATATATATATATATATGATTGGCCGGAAAGGATAAGCGAGCAACAAGGAACTGTGACAGCTAATTAACCAAGAACTGCTTGTCCAACAAATATGCAAAAGAAAGTGACGTTGATTTAGACATATGCTAAGGAGACTGTTGTGTGGCATCACACTTCAGGTGCCTTAACCCGTAAGAGAATCGATAAGTTGGGTGTGAATCCGATGGTAACATGGTGGAGGAAATAAAAGCATGTAGGCAGCTATGAAGCCAGCTAAAAGTGACATCAGAAGACAGATTACTCCTTTACCCCTCCCCAAGCCGGTAGTAAGACTGGTAAAGAGGGAAGGTTGGGCATGAGGCTAGCAACCCCATCCCGTGATAAATAATAAACACTAATGCTACCGAAACTTTAAAGCTTTAGCTTGAAACCTTATGTTCCACTAGGAACGTAAAGGAATAAAAAACATAAAAAAATTTTCGAGCCAACTGTCCGTCTATCGTAAATGAAGTATTAAAGAATTTCGAAGTTCTTTTATTGATATAATAAGTGGATATTTGAAGATGAAATAGAAATCTAGGTCCAGCTGAGTCACAAAGCCCAACCGCCAACCAGGTCATCATTTCACTGGAATCATCTTACGTAATATTATCTGTGATCTCAATAAATGCTTTGTGATTTGAAAGCCACTGGTTCGAATCCCACCCCAATCCATTTCATTTCATCTTCATCAATCAACGTTTATCTCAGATAGTCTCACCGTCAAATCCTTTATTGTTTACGTACAATTTGTGAATTATTATTGTTGTTATTATCACTATGCTTTATTGTTAATCATGAACAGGTATGAACTTGAACGAGATCCTTTTTTTTGTTGTTGCGGCAAATTGTTACTGTGAATAATCTTCACTATACTGACATAGCTGAGAAATGATGTCAGCTGTATCATTGTTAACACATTCTACTCGATTGGTGTTGTACTGAATGAATTTGTGTGTGAATGAGAAAAATGGGACGACAACAACATGATATTGAGTTATAAGACTATCCTTCGTGTTACTACTTGTATACACTAATTTAAACATGATTTAAAAGGTGCAAAGTTAAATTATGCCATTGTTAACGTCATTCGTTACTCTACTAATACGATAGAAACATTATGGAAATAAATGTACTATTTTAGTTCAAAGGTTTTCTCTTAGTAGGGATTCACTTGTCTACACATTTAATACGACTTATACGTTAATTTTAGGTAGCCAGAGAGAGAGAGAGAGTGGTTTCTTTGGCCCAATTTTGAACTCACTTATTCAGAACATATTTTTCATGCAACAGGCTATCAGCCACGCTTATCACGTGAGGATTGGTGATACTGTTGAGGTGTGCAAACGGCAGTATTCGGAGCGGAACTGGGACACTTAGACCACTGGTTGAAAGCCATTTTTTTAATACGAGCAGCACTCGACTCCCAGTTAGTAGGTTCAGGGTTTCAGTCTAGCCCTAGCTACTTCACTCAAAGCAACTGGACAGTATTCATCAACCTCATACACGTGTGGCCTATAGTCTGTTACATGAGAAATAAATCAGTTCTGGAGAGCCGAATTCTAACATCATTTAGCTAATGGGTTCCGACGTCAAATCTCAGTCCACTGGTTTCAACACTTATTTGATGCCTTCTTATTTCGTTTCTCCCTCACGCACGCACACACATACACATACATACATACATACACTAGTCAATACACGAAAGAAATCGATACTGGTCAACTGGTCAAAATGTATATTACAGACAGGCATTGGTTATCGTAGGTAGACAACGTATGTATAGTTTAATATAGGCTAAAAAAAGAACATGTAATTTTTCCTAACCAGCAAACTGTATTTACTCTACTTCCAATCTCTACGCAGACTGACAACAATACAACATCCTCAGCATCCTCCTCCTCACCGTCATCATCATCATCATCACCATGTATTAGGCTATACAACAAACGGGAAAACAATCATTCTTATTCTCATTCTAATATTCAATGTATGTCATTATTAACTCGGATGGATTTAGTATCATTATCATCAGGTGATAGTGATAATAATGGTTTGAAAATGGAATTGGGTTTAATTGATCCAATCATCAGTTGTGTAGGTTTAGGATATGAGTTGAAAAGATTGAAATGTTTAACTGTACTTCGTCGTGATGATGCTTATCGTTGTCGTCGCCGTCGTGGGTGTCGGGGTGGGGTTGGGGGCTGTGGAAGAGGAGGACGCAGTCAAATCTTGTCTAAGTTACCACCAGTATATCCTTATAATCGTTCATGTTCAAATTCATACTTTATTTTGCTTAAACAAAAATTCAATTATGATCAGTGTTACTGTCGTTATCATTATCATTGTTACTATTATTACTATTACAACTATGATCCTTCTGTTGGTATTCAACAACAGGCTAACAGTGAAATTATAACCAATGGAAATTCAACTTTTTCATCATATAACTCTTCGCCTGTATCGCCTATGATCAAATCATCAATTCAGAATAATCAATGCATTAATGGTGATAATCATCATAATAATAATAATGACGATCATGATCATGATAATATTAATAATAACATTAATAGTCATCATAATACTACTACTACTACTACTAATAATAATCAACAAAATGGAATACATGATAATAACAGTAGTAGTACTAATAATACTATCAGTAATAGTAATACTAACAATCATTTTGTTCATCATATTGATAGTGATCATGTTGAAGTAAATTGTAGTGCATCTGTTAGTGAACTTTACGATCTCATTGAATATGGCCGAAGCTTACGATCGAATGCATTAGAATTACAACATCAAGGAGCGATTAGTTTGGAACAACTTCTATTCTTGAGTGTAAGTCTATCTTAATTTTTGTATTTAGTCAGATGTCTAGAATTTCCTATGCATTTTTCTACTAATATACTCATTGAAATAGACTTCTTGTCCCTTCTTCATTAATTCATTCATTCAGCTACCTGGAATAGGTTTATCATTCATGAGGCGTTAAGCTACACTTTGTGTGTCTGTGTGTATGTACATGTGTTTGTCAGAGCTGATAATACTTACCATTCATCCTGGCTTGAAGTAGACGGAGTGGAATTCGAACCTTGGACCTAATGGCTAAACCATTTGCGGAGCACATCTACTTCAATGTTTCAGTGGAAACTGTTATTACAATATGATAGCTTCATTAAAATTGACAACTCTTCAGTCTTATTTATCAGTACATTTGTAAAATACTTGTCGATACCATGAACCTGACTCTGCACTACTGCTCAGATGATAGGGATTGATGTTGGCTTAACTTTCATTATTTTCTTTTGTGAATAAATGGACAGTGTTGAATGTTGGAAGTTAGTCGATAGGGATTTCCGTTCAACTTGGATTTTTTTCTTATCCATAAACTCATCAAGAAGTCATATATTTCCAGTTGTTTTTCTTTCGAATATTTTCTATTCAAAGAGGAATTCAATTGTGTTTTATCCTTATGTCCAAATAAACGTATTGACAATATAGTTGTATGAGGTTAGGGAAGCGGTCACAGTAGATCAGACCGGAGGAATAGCATCATCAATCTATGAAACTGTTTGCCTGAATTATGTAGTGTAGACTGTCCAGATATAACTGCTGATGTGCTCTAATTGTTTTTTATACGGTGGAGGAGCACTATTCACACTTATTTCAAATTCCTTATCGTTTATTACTACTATTGCATTGTACAAGTTTTGTCTCCTTTTTCCTTGGATGCTTTATTGAAATGTAGCATCGTGATTTGTTTAGTCTCCGTTCAAGATTCTATCTTGGTCATTTTTATTTTCATGACTCTGATCGAAATAAACTAAAGCTAAACTGGAAGAAAAAGTGGCTCAGCTGTACCACTTCGGTTCCAGACTCTTTATAATCGTTTCCTTTGCTTGAGGTTGGGAATTTGCCTACAAAGGACATAGTCAAGTGTCAAAGATACTTAGACATTTTAATACTTCTCTGATGAGAAATCGAATGTTTAATTTTCAGGGCCAAACATAATCTGTTTAATAAAAGTTTAATTCATGATATCGCAGGCAATACATCAGACTCTGAAGTCATATAAAGCTGGTTGTACAAATATTTTTTGAGTGTACCTAAGTCGTAGTTGAAGGAAATGAGAGGGGAGGAAGAGATTCAGCCAGCCCTTTTAAACAGGTAAATTCTGCTTTTGTGGGCGACGGCCTCAGTTGGTAGGCGTATAAACCTAGGGAATTGAGGTAAGAACAGCTGGTACTATGGATCCACTAGGCGGACTGTCCAGTCGTTCTAACAACTGTAACTGTTTTAACTGTACTTGGTGGTTACTAGCTGCAGCAGTCGTTTGTCTTTCATCCCCATTGGAATTATAGAACAGATAGTAAATCTTATACACAGTCTACTTCATTTACAAGGATTTCCCAGTCGTTGTCTTCGTTACCTCAGTGGAATACGACTTACAGCTTTATCAGCTGGCTTACACAATTCACTAAAGACATGTTGGTTCACATGGAAACATCGAGTATGCCTATACACACAAGTCAATTTTGCTAACGCCTACCTAACAAGGGAATGTTTGTTTTTACTTATCACCTTGCCTTTATTTTTTTTCTTTTAAAACACTTTGTAGAGTGCATTCAGTTTGGTTGCATATCAGAATCCTTACAGAAGTCCTCTCAGTGGCCTGTTACACCCAAAACATCGAGAATTATTAGCCGATGCTGTAAATGATGCTATACTGGGTAAATACTATTTTAATTCGGTGTATTTTAGAGAATTCGGATAAACTGTATTCACCTTACTCCGTTATTTCTTTCCTTTTATATTGTGTCACTTTGTATAAACTGTTTTAGTAAGTTGTTTCAGTGACTAGACAGGCATTCATTAAAGAAAAGATTTCTGCGAAAGAAATTCTCTTCATTTCTTTTTCGTATTTTTACAATCGAGAATGTATGTGTGAATTACAGTAGACAATAATAACGAGTAAGTTGTATGTGTGTGCGTGTGCGTGTGTATTTGTTAAAATTCCCACTTAGTGTTAAATTTCATCGCGTACAACAAAATTACTTGTTGTTGACTGTTGTAATGTTGGTTCCTTGAGTCACTAACACTGTTCTTCAAGTGTTTCACCATGCATTCCATACACTTTCGCTCATGATGTGTTATTCAGCGTGCCGTCTGTCTCACTCACAGACAATCTAGTTACTGAGACCACGTTTCATGTTACCAGTGGCTCAAATATGCTGTGGCAGCTTCTGACTGCTTTTATAGTAAATGTATATTTTAACCAAGTAGGCTTTGCAGTGCTTATATAAGCGCTGTCTAGTTTTATGTGTATACACTGTTATACTTACTGTTCATTGAAATGAACTGACTGGCGATAATATGTTTCAACGTACTCTCAGAGCACACTGGTGATTGTTAGTGAAACGTCCTTCGGAGCCACAAGCAGATTTTATTTTTTGTCTTCGTGACATTTTGAGAGGGTTAATAAGTAACCTTGAGATGTACTCGAACTGATAACTATCCGCAGTATTAAATGCTTATATTAGAGCCTTTTGAATGTTTGGTGTTATCTAGAAATAGATTCTAATGTGTTTCATAGCTGCAGAATATAGTCTTCGTTATCTGTTCGGTAACCATCTTATTATTATTATTATTCCCTTGGGTTCCTAGTGGAACATAGGGCTTCAACTGCACGTCTCCACTTGCTTCTGTCTTCTGCTGTACTTTTCACCTGCATCCATGTTAGTCCATACTGTTTCAACTCCTCTCCACACGATCTCCTCCATGTCACCCTTGGACGTCCCACTCACCGCTTCCCTTTCGGGTTCCACTCGAGCTATGGCCTGACGCGCGATGTCACCCAACGGCCTCCTCAACGAGTGTCCAATCCATCTCCACTTTCTCCTGCATATTTTTTGAGCGATTGGTTCTTGTTCCCTTTGTTTGTTCCCATAGTTTCTTGTTGATTCTTGTTCTTTCCGGCCATCTGATCTTGAGTATAGAGCGAAGACAGTTGTTGATAAAGGTCTGTAACAGGCTGTTGGAAATATTCTTTGTGACCCACTGGCCAAGTTTCTGATCCATCCGTATAGAAGAACTGACTGACTTGACGTTTGTATTGAAAATCGGAATTTTGTTGTTGATGTTGTGGAGTGACGAAGATTTCCAGATTGGTTTCAGGTTGATGAATGTGTTTCTCGCCTTCCCGATTCTCGATTTGATATCCTCATCCGTTCCTCCTGTAGTTGAGACAATGGTCCCAAGATAAGTGAATGAAGTAACCTCTTTCAAATCCCTCGCGTTGATGGTGATTGGCGGTGGATGTTGCTGCTGCTGTTGTCGTTGTTGTTGTGTGATTATTTTCATAACCTCCGTCTTGTCTATGTTCACCTGGAGTCCTGTCTAATCCCTACTAATCGCCTAAACGACTCTCTGAGCCTATACTTCTCATGCCATGCATTTGAACCCCGACTAACACTACTCCATTCATCTAGATCAGCATAAGAATCCCTCTGAGGGCAACCAATCACAGTCAATGCCACCTGTGGGGTTCCCTTTACTTTTCTCTCATGCTAGTTGTTGGCGTCCATGCTGGCTAAATTAACAATGGGAAGATCAGAAGAAAAGCAATACACGGGATGCAATATCCGTTAGAAATGTCAAATCAATGTTATCGTTTGCGCTTCCACTTAGCTAAATCAATCAGATCATATGTGGTCACGTTCAATTTTTCTTTGCTTCATCTGAACATAAATATCTGTGAGAAATTTCTGAGAATATTTTTTTCTCTCTCTGAAATTCACAGTTCAACTTACAATTTATAAACTTTGAAAAAAAAATGATTCTATCTTATTTCTACTGATAATCTAAATTCCGTCAGTAGTCAGTTATCTGGTTCGCACAAAGTGCAATTGGTTGTTTGTTTTTCACAGTGTAATGCAAATATAAGTTGTTTTAATCGATCGCAATCTCATAGAATTTATGTAAATTTTTGTATTGAATTGAACACTGAACCATTCATATGCTATATACATTCTGAAACCAATTATATCCAAAGTATATTTGATTTTTTTCTTCTTCTTCTTCAAGGATTCATTTGTAGGGAATTTAATTGACTTCAGGTTAGATCCAACGCACTGGTATTCAGATAGGGAACCATTGACAACCAAGGAGTACTAAACTTACTTACTTTACTTCCGGCTATCTCCTACGGGAGGATGAGCCGGTTTCATGAACATCTCGAATCATCGCTGCCCAGGCGCGGCGATCTGATGCAAGGTTTTGCGACAGGGTTATCCAATTCTTGTTACACAGACGGAGTCCGTAGACGGTTTGTAGCCCCAGGCACTCCATATCAGCCTTGACTGTACCAAGCCATGTAAGAGAGTTCATGAAGTTTCATGGGAATTTGGTACGAGTGATGTCCCCAGAATCGCTCGGCCTTTTGTTTGAGAGTGCAGCTCTAGCCTTTACACAACCAAGTGTGACCTACAAGGCAGTAGGAGTGGAGTAGGGAGTCCACTATCCATTGGCAGCCGGTGACCGGAGTTCGGTTCATACGCCTTTTTGAATGGGGCCAGACATCCAACAAGCCCTTTGTCCATACGTCTGCCGGTGAGCTCCAGTGAGCTTCATATGCCAGTCGTTGGGGGTTTGGAATCAGGGTTTAGCCATCTCCCCTAAACTGTCATCCAATGAACAGTCAACCCGGTGAAGAGCGCCGGGCATCCGCTTTCGCCCTCTCACTTTGGTGAAAAACAGCTCCGCCACGTGAAGGCAGTGAGTAGGACTTCCTCAGGAGAGGCTATGTAAGACGCCCGGTCATATGGGAGCATTTCAAGAGGTGTGCGGAGGGGTGGCCAACCCGCAGCGCAAGGCACCCACCCCCGACCATCCTGAGGCTTTGGAGGCAGGAGTACTAAACGGCTTTTTCGTACGCCTTCATTGGGATTCTAGAGCAGTATGGCACGCTTGATCTCACCGGAGATTGAACCCACAACGTTTCGGTTACGGGACCAGCTCGTATGGATGGGGTCTGATCGCCTATAAATTCTAACTTCTAGCTGTTCTCAGTATACTGCGCCACCGCCAGCTAAGGCAGTCGGCATATATCTGTCCTGTCTTCACGCTCAACTCGGTTGTCAATGGTTTTCTTATTTGAGACCAATCAAATCCCAACTGACCACTGCTTGAAAATATACAGTTATTACTGTTTCAGTTGAGTATTTTGGTCTGTGTGGGTTAGCTCCCTCTCAATACTTATGATTCTCGATTTCCTGTGTCAATTCTCTTAACTAAGACATCTAAGAAGCAATTTTGTTGTGTGATTCCTCTCTTCTTACGAAACACAGTCGCTGATTCATTTATGAGTGCTATCTAAGTCATATCTTCTAATTATTATACGTGTTATGTCTACGTAACGTATCCAGTTCTGGGTTTGTTCATTGTTATAGCTGTTGTGGTCTACAGTCTTTGCATAAAGGCTTTAGCAATTAAGTCGTGACGTGACCCATGTTGGCTTTTATTTTAATCCTTGTCATCCCAACATTGCCTCAGAGATTTTGTTGTTATATAGGCTTGATTTACGAGATGTCATACTGGTAGCGCTTTTCTTTCGGTCAGGCACAGATCTTCATTTAAGTGTTTTAATAGCTAATACATGTGAGTGATGCATTCGCTGCCCGGTCCAAGTACTTCAGCCTATAAAACTGTAGTAAATGAGATGCAACTGATAATCCTTTTGCCATGATTCAGTGTTCCAGTAGATAAACTTTATATTTTCTACTTTATTTCCATTGTATATTATATTGCTCATATGATATAATTAAATTTATTTTATCTTCTTTTTTCTAGTACATTTAAAACAACCTTCTCGACCTGTTTTGGATATCGCCTTAACATATCTGGAGCATGTTTTAACTGATGAGGGAACATCATGTAAAAATACCGGTTCATTTCCCTGTTATCGTTTTAAAAATGGTCATTCGAATCCAAGCACTCCTTCAAATCCTCTGCAAACTATTGGCAGTCAACAATTACAATCTGATGATGTATTCACTGCGACAAGAGTAAGTCAGGCTAACGAGTCAACAACACCTGTTACTCGTGGTACTCCGACTACGCCTAGCCGAACTACAGTGGTCAGTGGAAGTCGTAGAGAAGGGGAATCACGTTATGCAACAGCCGATGTTCAAACATATGGTTTAGCCTCGGGAGATTTTACTGAAAGTTCTAATGGTTCTACAAATCTACTTCGTCCTGCTAGCACTTCAGTTATTTCTAGTTCACTTTATGTTCCGCCTTCTGCTTTAATCTCTCTTACCGGTCGAAGTAATCCAGTAACTAGGAGTTCTGATTCACAGAGATCATCATCTCGTGTACGTCCAACAAGTCTACAGAATTTAATTCAACAACGACGTCAATCACAATCAACCGACCAACCGACCGCATCATCTCCGTCTCCGTCATCATCATCACATTTTAATCGTTTTCTAGTCACATCGTCTAATTGGCCGGTTTCAACGCCTGTTTCATCAGCATCGACAACAACTACTACTACATCACAGAATCCTAATCGTTTCTCTCCTTCACGGATAACAGTCACCTCTTCCCTTACTAATACACATGCACCGACTGGACCTGAATTGGCAGGATTTTTCCATCCAATCTTATTTATAGGATGAAGTGTAATGCTTAAAAAAGGACACAATTTTTTCTTCTCTTATTTCCCTTTTATACATCACACATTTTCTGAGATTAGACTATTCCCTCCTCCTCCTCTCGCCCCTTCTCCTTTCATTTCCGGCGCGCGCACACACACACACGCACCTAGAAGCAACCTGCTGTTTTTGCTCCCGTTTTTTTAAATCTCTACACTCTAGACGATCTTATTCAGCCTACCTTCTATTTACCATTGTAAGTATATTCCCTCATAAGTATTTCTGATCTTATCGCTTTCATATACAATGTATTACACACTGACTTGTAGTTGATTATTATTAACATTATTACTATTATTGTTATTATTATTTAATTGGTAATTTTAGATAATATTTTGAGTTTTTTTGTAATTAAATGATTATTTTTTAAAAAGTACTCATGCAATATATATTCTCAGATCAAGTGTGATCATTGTGTGTGTGCATGTGTGTGTATGTCTATATACATGTACACATGATTATATTCTGCAGGCAAACAAAAGGCGGCAAATAATAAAGACAGGTGCATATTTTGATAAATGAAGCAGGAGAATAAACCATCCATCACATCAACTGGGGTGGGGAAAGGATAGACGTGCATGTGTGTCTATATGTGCATTATTGTATCCAGGTTCTTTCTTATCAAAGTAGTATTATAATTATAATTACTGTTATTATCACTATTATTGTGTTATTGATGATGATTACTCACGTCACCTTCTGTGTAGGAGGGTGTCTGTTAGTGAACAGCACGAGTGATTTGTGCTTCTCACCATTCGGAGAGAGAGAGAGAACAGTAATTAATTACTTACTTTCTTTAATTTTTGTACTCTAATGCACCACTTTCATTATTTTGATAGGCGTTAGTTGTTTTTTTTTTTACATTTTATGTCTGTGTCTTTTTTCATTTTTAATCATCTAATATTTCACAGAATGAATTTAAAAGAAGATTTAGCGCTCTGTCGATCGATACTGACGGTGGTGATTCAGTTAACTGCTCTTTTTGTTCTCTTTCTCATATTACCTACTAATCCCTTTCTCTTACTTCCAATCCCATTTCATTTGGTCCTGTTTTAATTATTTTGCATTCTGTGTACAACTATAGTGTATACCTTTGTGAGTAGGTGAGTGTGTGTGTGTGTTTATGCGTGGGTGTCATCTTAACAAATGCACTCTACTTCTTTCTGACTAATTGATATAAACTGTGAAGTATTCTTGATTCGCTACAAATATCCTACCTTGTTGTTATTGCTGCAATATTACACATCTCACTTAATTGATACGAACACTATCAAATGTGTTACACATATACAAACACTTGCTCGCACCCATCTCTGTTGTCACCATATTCTCTCAGCGCTTATATATATATATATATATATATATATATATATATATATATATATATGACTAGTGTGTTATTATTCACTCGCCTCTCAATCAACAACATCTCATTTATTTACTGTCCCACTTCGTTTCTATGTTTCCTTCCTTGACTGGTTGGTTATTTTAAATATAACAAAAGGAAAACAATTATTTTACTTTCTAATTACTTTTGATTTAACTGACTTCTTCGTGTAGCTACCCTTGTTGTGTGTGTGTGTGTGAGCGCGTACGTACGTAGGTACGTGTGTCCTATTTCTGATTCTTTTTTACGGTTGTTCTGTCCTCCTTTTTATTTACTGAGTACATTTTGTTTTTAAGAAATTATGAATGAACTCGATCACTTCTTTTTATACCTAAGCAAGCGAATGTCATATAACTTCATGAATACATATATGTATGCTGCATAACCTTAATGACATTATTATTAATATTAATATTATTATTATGTAATCAGTGAGAGACTGTTGAGCGGTGTTGGTTGGTTGGTTGGTTACGCTGACAATTGATGATTGGATGATAGTTGTTTGTTTGTTTGTGTGTGTGTGCATGTGTTTTGTGGGAATGAATGAGTGAGTATATGCCCTATGGGTGTAATATTTTGTTTGTCCAATCAAATAAAAGTATTCGAGTGTATGTGTGTGTGTGTTTGTTTGTGCATGGACTCACGCGATTTAGATTTGGGAGAGGGACAGATTTTCGGTTTTATTATGTTCTAATATATTTTCTTTCAGACTGTTATTACTATTATTATTATTTTGCACGATTGATGAGTTGTTGTTAATGAAATTATTATAATAAACAAAAAAACAAAACAATTAATATTACTACTTACATTGCTAATATGACTGAATGTTTTTACAGAAAATAAATAAAATTTCACTTACATTTGTCGACTTTGTTGTTTGTTTGCGTTTTTTTTTTTAAAATTCCTTCGCGCTCCCAGTGGAGCATAGGGCTTCAAGCTAGTAGAGCTTTGAAGTCTCGGTAGCAGTGGTGTTTATTATTTTTACGGGGTGGGATTGCTAGTCTCATGCTCAACTTCCCCCCCCCCCCTTTTTGTTTGGCTTATTTACCGGTTGAGCGAGGTTTGGAAGTGTGTCGGGCCAAGTTAAACTTTAGACACCAGTAACTACCAATCAGCGAACGACGTCGAATTATCCAATGAGATTCACGAACGTAGTTCAATGTTGTACAGCGCTTGATTCATTTCATATGCGTGCCCTTACAAGGTTACGTTTTCAATTCGAGGAGGACACTGTTTTCCAGTATTGTCTAGATTTAGGGTTGCTCCGGAAGGAGCGAACTTGTTCGTGTGGGGGTATCATGACGTTAAAAAGCTATATTAGGTCAACTGATGGATTTGTCCATCGTTGTGCTATATGCTTCAAGCGTGTTAGCATTAGAGAGGGTAAGCTGATAATTTTAATGTTTCGTAGGAACTTTTTTTGCAAGGTCACACCTCTCGTTGACGCAAATTTTATAAATCTGCAACTACTGGGTATTGAAACAGCCAGTGACAGCTGCAGCTTCCGAGATGGACAACAGCCTCGTCTCAACAGTCTAATGGTACCAGCATTGTAGAGATATTGCATCTTGTAAAATGGAGAAGATTACTTCGGTGTTGGGCGGGGATGGCGTTATAGTGCACGTGGATGAGACTGTGTTGCTGAAGAAGAAATACAATCGTGGTCGCCAGCGGGCGAATAATATCTGGGTTATAGGTTTATACGATACTTCCCTCCGAAAGGGATTCGTTGAAAGAATAGGAGATAGAAAGGTGACTACGTTAATACCTATTATAACGAGACTTGTCAAACGGGGGTCAGTTATACACACGGACGAGTGGAAAGGTTATAATTCGCTGTCATCCTTGGGATATAATCATCACCGAGTGAACCATTCAAGTGATTTTCTGGATCCAGTTACCGGAACTCATACAAATTCTATTTAAGGATTTTGGGGCCGGTTGACAAACCGGATAAGGGCTATAAATTGATCCCAAAAGGATCTCATTTACAGTCATTTAGATGAATATATGTATTGAGTGTGGTGTGACTTTTCTATTGACAGTCCGATGCTGAATTAAGAGATGTTTCTGTCCCATGTTCGTGAAAGATACCCCTTGTAACTGTTTTACCCTTTTTTATGCATTTTCCTATAAATATACCTTTCCACTTATCATAAACGCTTCTTTCACGTGATTGGTCCGTTCAAGGTCGTTTGCTGATTGGTTGTTACTGGTGTCGAAAGTTTAACTTTGCCATGTGTCGACCGGAGATCGAACCTCTGGCCACATGAGTAGCTGGTGAGCATTTGTTTGTTTGCGTAGATGAGTATTAATCACATATGGAATATGTCACTCGACTCTTGAATCAGTGATTTTCTTAAAACTTCAGAGGCATATTTTTTATCACGAAAGGAGGATGTTAAGTTATACACATTCAACTTAACAATCTATGGTATCGTATTTATGAACCAACATTCAAAGTTGAATGTAAAACGAATTACTTACACATGACCAAATATTGAATAGAATATTCTTGCCGTGAAACATGATAATCCTAGACTCGATCCATCTTGTAGTTGGTACTGGTGGGATGTTTCATATTTATGAAACAATTGCAGAATATTGGTGTTGAAGACATGAAAAGGTTGACTGTTTTTGACCATAGGTGTCTGCGATCCCTTTCTCACGTTAGGTGGTATAATAAGGTAAGTGATTTTGACGTCAAGCGTAGAGTGTTGGGCAAGGAGGGAAAATCAATCGAGGAGGCTATAAAGTTACAAAGATTGAGATGGCTAGGTCACGTGCTGCGCATGCCTAACCATCGCCTCCCCTGACGGGCATTACTAGCTGATATATGTGCAGATTGGTAAAGAGTAAGTGGTGCCGTGCCAAACAAAAACATGGCATCAATCCATGAAATCCTTGACAGTTGTTAAACTGAGTCAGTTAGGGAGTTGCAGACTTCCGGGTTGGGGCCCTCGAGACTCTAAGAATCAATGGCTGGAGACAATAGGTGACATGGCTCAAAATGGTTGTCAATGGCGCAGATGTATTCAGTCTCTGTAAACTTTCATATTGCTTTCTACTATGAGTCATTCTGTTTCACTCTCATGCTTGTCAAAACTCTATTGATTCTCTTCACTCATTTTCCTGTCTACCTTTGTGTGCTATTTGGAACGTGGCAACTCGAACTGCTGCACTTCGGTGCCAAGTTCTATGTTGAATCCAGACAGACAGCGACGGAATATTTGTAGCTCAGATGAACGTTGTCGGTGTTGTTTTATTTTCTGAACTCGATGGTATAATTGCGAAGCCTTCATTGTCCTTTTAGAAAAAAAAAAAAAAACTCCCATCGCTAATGTCAATGGCAGTTGAACACTGGCGGACTGCATAAATTACTGGGCTATCTATTTATGCATCCATCAAAACGTATGTTATCTACTCTGTTTCATATTGTTTTTAAATTATCCAATTCCATCTCTGAATTGCAGTGTGTACTTACGTCAATTTCTATACACGATTCAACCTACTACCGCTATGGATTTTTTTGACGAAAACAGAGAAGAAGCATATACCAGGTTATTAGAGCGTGCTTTGGACAGGATAGTATTTGCTGCATCATAACATATTACCGAGTGTTCATTTATTTGAAGATTCTACAGAAGGAGTGAATATTTTGCAATTGAGGATTCTGT